GGCCCCCCGTCGCAAGCAGCGGCAGCGGCAGAGGCCCGCAGGCAGCGGCGGCGGCAGGAGGAAGAAGGCATGAGGGACGGAGGGACTGCATGGGGCCGGGGATGCCTGCTGAGGCGTCGGAGAGGACTGTCACTGCCAGCCTCCTGCCTGGTGCTCCATTCCCACGCCTGTTTGTCAATAAATACGCTCCAGCCTTTCTAAAATGTCCTGCGTTTGGCTCTTAGCTGGCAGTCGAGGAGGGCTGTGTTCTCCGTCCAAGGGGAGTGGGTGGTGCATGGAGGGGGCTGAATTCTCCCCCAGTTTCGCAGGGACAGCCAGGTGACGTTGCTTCACGGCTGTGGCCGTGGCTGCAGCATTTCCAGGCAGGACTGGAGCTGAGCAAAGCTGTCTCTTGCTCAGGTAACTGGGACTGGGGGTGGACCACAGCCGTAACTGGTGTTTTGATTGAGTAACCAACCGCTTGCTGGGACACAGATACCAGGGAGGTGGCTGCTGCTCTGTGCTCTGGGCAAGTGGCCTGACGGTGGAGCTCTTGCTCTGTAAGTCAACTTCTGCCGCTCAGCTCTGTGGTATTCCGGTTCGGTTACTAAAGGAACGTGAAAACTTACTGTGAGATTTATTGCAGGGCCTAAGAAATTGTACAGATTTCCCAGAGAGTTCTGTTGATTAATAAAAGAAGCCAAAGCTGGTGACCAGCCATTGAATTCATCAGAAAAAGGTTTGTATTGAACAGCAGGTTAAAACCTAAATTTCTCCCTGTATTAATAGTAATCCATCATTTCATAGAAATAGTTTTGCAGTGTTTTTCTTTACCAAGCGGTTTGAGAGCAGATATTGGAAATGATCTCAGACTTCTGCTTGTTACTTCTTTTGAACTCTGTAGTGCACTTTGAACTCAAGTACAGTTGAAATAAAAAATACAATTTGCTGTCCCAATGTGTGGCTTAGCTACAGGAAGGATGCCGTTCCTGGTAAGAGGGGTAGTAAAACAAGCGTCAGCAATCTCACGTAAATTAAGTTGTCAAAATTTCAAGTCGTAAACTTGTGAGTGGTTAATGATAACATAACATTTTGCTGCAAATGAGCTTTTGGAAAAGCTAGGTGACTCTGTAGCAGTCCCGTTACCTCATTCTGTATCAGGTCAGTAGGATGGCAGCTTGAGCACGACCAAAACGCAAAACCTCGGTCTGTGTAAGGCGGCTGCTGAGGGCGGAAGGGGTACGTACGCCTTGAAGCTGAAGGGGTTTGGGTGGCACCGATGGACTGACTGTAGCGCTCAACCTACGGGCTTTGCGTAAGGGGTGCTCTTTGCCTCTTAAAGGCTTCTCGCCGCCGTGCTGGGCAGCCTGCACCACCGCGGGCTGCTTCGGACTTGCCAGTGGCAGGAATGGGCTCGCGATACCAAGCCTTCGGTGCAAGAAGCTAGGCAAAGCAGGGGCAAAAGGCACTTGCAAACGTGGAGAAAAAGTTGCTTTATGTTCCAGACGTCCGATTTTCCGGCAGTTTCCACAGGGTCCACCTTGTACCCGCTCAGCCGGAGGGCACGGCTGCATTCCCACGCGCGCACGCCCCCGGTGAGTATTTTTATGCTGCTGAGGGCGATACCGGTGAACTTCTAAACCCTAAAACCCTGGGCAGCGTGCGCGTTTCCAGCAGCGCGGCGGTCACCCGGGCAGAGGCGCGGGGGCTGCCGCTTCCTGGCTCTGCCAAGGGGACAGAGGTGTGGGACCCTGGGGCGGGGGCCCGGGCGGGCCGTGGGGGGCTGCGTCGGGACGGCGCCGTGCAAAGTCCTCGGGTTTGGTGAACTCGGTGAGTGGCGGGGGTCGGGAGGCGGGC